GAGTGACAAAGGCCAGTGGAAAGGGCCCTGACCTCTCCCAGGACTGGCCTTTTGGGCAGTTTTTGGGTGGATTTCAGCATTTCAGCAATAAAGGCAGGCCAGGCTGTGCTGAGCCGGGGCTGGTGGCACTGCAGGCTCCGGAGAGCTGCATTCCCTTCAGGAGCAATCCCTGCCATGGATCAGCACAGCCTTACTCATACAGGCACCATTATTAATGCCTGACTTGCAGGAGGCAAAGGAGGTGAAGTTTAATGCCTTTTTACCTTGTTCTTGCCCAAGTTTCCTGCCCAAACAGGCTGGAACGAGGGAGGAGTGCAGCGCTGTGCTCTCAGCCTGCTCTGTATTCCTTTGGTGCTGCAGCTATTTCATTAATGACCTGGATAACAAAGCAGCTTCTCCAAGTGCTGGATGTGCCTGCAAGTGTTCTGGAGGGCAGGAACCGAATTCAAAATGATCTCCACAAATTGAAGGAACAATATGAGAAATAGAATTAGGTTTGGTTGGAAGCAGGTGGAAGAAATTACATTTAGAGAGAAGTAATGAATATGAGGAACAAGGAGGTTTTGGGAGCAGGATCTGTGAGTTAAACAATGTCTTTTTTCCTGTGGAAAAAGATAAACAGTGTATCCTGGGAGATGCTGGAAGAAATCCTGCTGTTCTGTGAGAGGGAGGCAATGAAAATGTTTAAAGTTCTGGAGAGCATGAGTGACATGGAAGGACGAAAAAGGAGACTGAGGGCAGAAATGGGATCTGCTGACAATCTCCCAGCACAGAAAAAGCCTCTGCAGGAAGGGAAAATCTGATTTTTTGGTAGAAGAAAGAAGAAATAAACTCAACTTGCAACAAAGAGGATTCCTGTTGTCTGCCATCACATTTTCAGTGCAACGTCATAGCCTTAACTGGGAACTGTTTTCAAGGTTGTAGGAGTTGGAGCTTATGAAGTAACTGAAATACCTGAAACATCTCTGAGAATTTCCTGTTTTATTCCATCAGAGATCTGTGGTCGATTCCAGTGAATGAGGCACGTTATTCCTCAGTGAAATTCCCTGTTCCATACGGTGTGGGGAGTCTGTGTAGACCTGGGAAAGCAAAGCCTCCAAAGCTGCAGCAATCCAAGGAATGTTGGTCCTGCTGAAATGCCTTTCCCCAGTTTTAGGCTGGAGTTTTTCCCAAGTGTTGTGGGTGTTCCAAGTGTTCTGCTGCCTCAGTGCTTCCTCAGCAGTCACCTTTTACTTGGAGTAGCTGAAACCTCTCCGCTTACTTCTGCTAAGTTGATTAATAAAAATTATTTATTACACAAATCCTTCCCGTTGACAAGTTAAAATGGAGCCTCATCTTTCATATCTCCCTGAAGATTTTCACCTTGTGAGATTGAAAATCCTCATTAAATTCCAGCACCAGGCAGGCACAAATGAGAGGGCGATTGTTTTTAAGCATGTGAAGGGAATCATTGGTAAACTCATTTGTTTGGATATCATTAACAGAACAATCGGAGAGGATCTCCAGGGGGTCCTCCTGACCTTTGCTCGCAATCTCTTCATCATCCATCAAGAAATATCAGCACCTAATATGCAAGGCGAGACCAATTTTAAGGTGAGGTGTTAATTAACTAACGATCCCGGTTAATTTCTGTACAAGGCCTGCAAATACCTCATGCTGGATCATAAGCAAGTGCTAAACCATTCCTTTTTTATCGCTGCCTGTGTGTGGTTTACAGTGTCTGGGTCAGTGTAGTGGGTCTCCCACGGAACCCGTTAGTTAAATTTAAGTTTGAAACTTTTTCTTTGAAAAGAGGCATCCTTGGGAGTGAAATTATTTGTAATCTAATGCTCCTGAGTGTCCTTTGGAAGAGCAAAGGAGCTGTTGGCACTGCCTCACACAGTTCTGTCACAATTGCCTGCTTTATTTTAAAGGGACACCATCAAGGTAAGAATCTTAAATTAGAAACAAATCTCTCCGTTGGTAATGACTGCTTGGATTATTAACACTCATTTCTTTTAAGAGGCAGCCTCTAATCCATTCCTTCCCACCCTCTCCCTGCCACCCCTTTCCCAGGTGGGTTTTGTTCCCAATTTTCTGTGCTGTTGGAAGGTGCCCATTCCAGAGGGGGAGGACAAAGCTCAGGTCTCCGGTTTTTGGCTGTTTGGAGGGCCTGGAAAGGCCCGGGGTGGCCTTGGGGCAGCCCGTGTATCAAAGGACGAGAAGAGGCTTCAGTTCTTCTTTCGGTTTTTATGTTTATTAATTGTTTATCTAAAAGATTTTCTTTCGGCCCGACAGAGCTCTGCTCAGCAGCCAGCCATGAGCACACTCCCTGCCCTCCGGACAGTCACCTATCTTTATACCCAAAGTTACGTGTACAATATTTATCATTTTTCCCCAATACCTTTTACCCTTATTGCCCGGTGCACTTTCAGTAATGACCAATCCCAAAGTGCCACCATCACCACAGAAGATGGAGGAGAAGAAGAAGAAGGACAGGACACGCCCCAATTCCTCCATCTTACTTCTCTAAACCCCCCTGTACAGAAATCCTAAACCCTGTGTTTCACTCTCTAATTAACCAATCCCTTCACCATTCACCCCGGTGAAACCCTCCTGTCCTCATACAGGTGTCGTCTCCTGTGTAGGATCAAAGTGCAGCCACCAGACACTTCTGGAACATTCCAGGACTCCCGAGCCCCCCAAGGGTGCTCTCGGTGGCACCTCAGTCCTGAGGGGCTGAGATCCCACACTCAGGGGCTCACCCTGGGGAGGTTCCCACCCTGCAGGCAAAGCCAGCAAAGAATCACCAACCCAAGCCCTCCTCACAAAGCTGCTTCTGATCCCACAGAACTGCTCAGCTGCCCACAGGGAGCTCCCTTTGCTTTAACTCTATAAAAACTCCCCGAGATGCTGTGTGTGTTTTGTGAAAGGTGAACGCTGTGTTAGATTTGTATCTTCAGTCATGTCACATAATTTATAGCAGATTTCTTTCCACCCTGACTGGATTTTCCAGTAGAGTGTGAAATGACAGATTTTGGGGAAGGCATAATTAAATTTCAACATGTTACAGAATAAACAACAACAACAACAACAAAAAAATCTCATTTTTCAATATGAGGGAATGAAAAGCAACCACTGAGGAAAAATAAAACAGAGAAGTTTTCTCCATTGTGCATGAACATATGTGAAATAAAACACCTGTTAGTTAATTAGGAGTACAAATTGTATTTTTATTTACCTGGGATTTGTACATATTTACTAATAATTTCCCCCAGTGTCTCCAAAGTAATATTAAATTTAATTGGTGCATCCTGTCCCGTGTAACCCTGTTACCTCTTCAAGGCAGGCACTGCCAGCTGTGCACCCTGGCTGCTGGATTCCATTATAATGCCCATTAAATAACTTGTATTCCTGGAATCTGTTACAGATGGCAATTCGAGATATTGAAGCAATTCTAGGAGTTACAGCAGAAAACAAACTGAGATTGGAAGAAGAGCAACCTTGGGAAGCAGATGCTCTGAAAGAATAGTTAACAGAAAATGTTCAAGTGCCTCATTCCTTATGCTTCTGGAAATGCTTCCTGGTCTGTAAGAACAGGTTTGGTTTTCCTTCTGAGCTGGTGTGTGAAGCAGCATCAACTGAGACAGAAAATCTCTGGGGCTGGGAGCAGCCTGGCATGGTGGAAGGTGTCCCTGCCATGGCAGGGGAGTTGGGTCTGGAGGATTTTTAAAATCCCTTCCAACTCAAAGTATACCATGGTTCTTTTGCCTGTAAATGCTTTAATTTAAACCCCATTTCATCAGTAATCCCAGCAATTCCTCTGCAGAGCCATCTCTATTGTTATGCTGCTTTTGCTGTTATCTAAAGACTTTTGCAGCAGTTCTTTTGTGGGCATTTTCAAATTATCAAAAAGAACAGTAATAGCACTAATTCATCAATAGAATTCTCCCTGCACTGTGATTCCCAGAATTCCATCACTTTTGCAGTGTCCATCTTTATTTTGGACAGTGGTGACCCTTTTGGTCACAACTTCTCTGCACTGTTGTTAAAGGACATTATATTTCTAAAATCATATTTATCAATCGAATCTTTAATATCCCAGACAACACATTCCACATTTTAGTAAGGAAGAGCAGATCTCACTGCATGGAGCTGTTGTCCTAGGAATGGCAAATATCCTTGGGATTAGTTCCCAAAAAGCTCAGGCCAAACCAGTTTTACCACAAATACTAAACAAGACCAAGCAGTTGCACGAGATCAGCACCCAGTTTTCCTGACAGCAGATCTTTGATCCCTCAGCATGACACATTATTTTCTGTGTTTTTTCTCTTCTACTTTGATCACAGAATTAATTCATTGCTGATGAAAACATTTGCATAAATGCTGGTTACTGCTTCAAATAAAAACCCACAGGAGTATTTTTAACTCCTGGTTTTATTGCTGCTTTACATCAGCGTGGTGCTGGGTTTGGACAGCCCACAGAGACTTTGCCAAGGTGGAATTTAGCTGCACTTGAGCTGGTTTGCAAAGGGTTAAGGCAAAGGAAGCCTTGATCCAAGCCAGAACAACATAAGGTCTGAGAGGCTCATTAGTTCACTGGCACTTGATAGACTGCAGTGTCCTGGGAGGAAATGGAACCTGCACTTCCCTCTGCCTTTGTTCTGCCCCGACAAAAGAAAACTGTACCTGTGTTTGCAGGAAACAAGTGACCTGAAAGTTCCCGTGGTGAGAGGGATTTCACAGCGTGTGCAAAGTGTGAAACGTATTTTGAGGGGGGGGAAAAAGAAAGTTTTTAATTACTACTAACACTTCTGAGCCTTGAGCTGATGGAAGGATTGAAAACTGCTCTGCAGTCTCTCACAGCCAGCTCCCATGCTGCTGGTGCCAAAAATGTGGGGTTTAGCAATGCTGCAGATTTAAAATGAAATTATAATGTTGTTAAAATGTCAGGAATATATTCTGCTCACCCTACTGGATTATTTATTCCCACTCATTAAAAGAGTAATAGAGTTGTTGAACTGTAGATTGAATTCAGAACATGAGCTGGATGGGAAGAAAAACAGAACAAGTGTGAAGCAAAAGATTAAAGGTGGCCCAAGTGTGGCTTCCCATCAGAAACTGCCCCAAAAAATGCCAGGTTTGGGCAAAAGCTGGAGCTGGCTCCATCAGAAACTGCCCCAAAAAATGCCAGGTTTGGGCAAAANATTAAAGAATAATATATAAATAAAATATATATAAAGAATATATATATTCTTTATATATATAAAGAATAATATATAAATATTATTAAAGAATAATATATAAATATTGCTGACATCTCATAGCAAAACTTCTGCAGCATGATAAAACAAATATCAACTCTTTGCTTCAAATGGCGTATTTCAGATGAAAATTTCGGATTAAATTTGGGTTTTAAAGAAGCCTGTGACAAAACCAAACCTGTACCAATAAATACGTGCTCTATGTGCTGTTCTTCTTAAGATATAAAAACCCTTCAAGTCTGCAAAACTTCTGCAGCATGATAAAACAAATATCTACCATTTGCTTCAAATGGCGTATTTCAAATGAAAATTTCGGATTAAATTTGGGTTTTAAAGAAGCCTGTGACAAAACCAAACCTGTATCAATAAATACGTGCTCGATGTGCTGTTCTTCTTAAGATATAAAAACCCTTCAAGTCTGCAAAACTTCTGCAACATGATAAAACAAATATCAACTCTTTGCTTCAAATGGCGTATTTCAGATGAAAATTTCTGATTAAATTTGGGTTTTAAAGGAGCCCATGGCAAAACCAAACCTGTATCAATAAATACGTGCTCGATGTGCTGTACCTTCTTAAGATATAAAAACCCCTCAAGTTTGATTACACAAATCAGAATGGGGGATTAAGGTTGTGATTAGCCCTGGAAAATCGACGTAATATTTATGCAAATTTGGCAAATTGAGTTGGTTTTCCCCATAGTCTCATAAATGAAGAAGACATTTTAGAAAAATTGCAGGTCTATAGAAATTCCATCATTTTGTGTCCTATTCTTTAAAATTTAATAGAAAATGACTCTGATTGAAATGGAGCTGAGTGAGAGGTACACAGGGACTGCAGGTAAAAGGTTCATTTGAGCAGAAATGTCTGTGTGGGCACCACCAGTCCCTTAGATCCTTAGGAGCTGGGGCTCTATTAATTTTTAGTATAGGAACTAAATTATAAAGTTATTGAACAGAGAGAGAATTTATCTCTGTTAATGGCCATTGAATTTTTTTTTTTCCTAAAGCTCAAACAAAGTAGAATCCGAATATGAAGAAGCTTGAAGACGTTTCAGGAATTAAATATACCTCCCATTCCCCCCCTCTAAATTGATAAAATAACTCAAATAGTCCAGTTTGTCAGAGATGATAATGTGAGAGAGTGTGATAAAATGCACGGATCAATAGCCCACAATTGAGATTAATGCTGTTCTCTTAAAAAAAAAANCTGGGTGCAAAGCCAGTGATTCAGCATTTGGCTGTTGGGCTCTGATATAAATGGGGAATCCTGGGTGCAAAGCCAGTGATTCAGCCCTCAGCTGTTGGTTTCTGATATAAATGGTGAAAATGTGGAATCCTGGGTGCAAAGCCAGTTGGGCTGTGCCCTTCATTGGCGTGCCAGTGAGCAGTGCTGGTGTTCCCTGCAGCCTGCCCGCCTCAGCCCGCGGTGTGCCGTGGCCAGCAGCCAGCTGAGGCACTGCAGCCTCTCCGGGATCTCCTACAGCCTCCTCCTGCACACCTGCAAAGCTCACGGCATCGGATTCGACCCCCAGGTACGAACAGGAAACGTGAGACAAACCTGATGTTCCTCCTGCAGGGTTTTTGTTTGTAAAGTCTTTTATGCTAAAACCACTTCTAGCGATGTAAGTGATAAATCATGGAATTGTTAGGCTTGAAAAAGGCTTCTAACATCATCCAGCCATCAACCCACCGCCCCCATGTTCACCACTAAACCATGTCCCCAAGTGCTACATACACCTATTTTTCTTTCAATTTAAGTGTGTATAAGACTTTTAGGGGTTAACCTGCTTCTTGATAAAAATAACTGTGTAAGGAGATAATTTTTAAGACACTTTTGACCATCCCTTACTGCTTTAAAACCCAAATATTTGCTGTGAAATAGACTGCTGTATTTATTGTATT